CAGTGTGTCGGGATGCATCCAATCAGACTGAAGAAGTAAAGATAGTTAAAGCCCCAAAAAGAAACAAATTTTGTCTTACGTGTCCTGCAAGACTAGTGATAAGTTCAAGTTCTTCACGGGCATATCTGTGGATGATTTTGAGGCACTGTTTAATTTGACTGGGGGTGACGATGTCATCAGAAATCTTAAAATGAAATATGCTGAAAATACACCCAAGAAAGCAATTGCAACCTGTATGTCAGGTAGAGACAGACTGTTTATGCTCCTACTTCGCCTTAGAAGAGGTCTCCCTGGGGAAGAACTTAAATTCTGCTTCGGCATTAACTCAACATATGTATATGAAATCTGCTATGTAATGACACGCCTTGTTTACCAGACATTTAAGTCAATGGAGAAGTTTATGTTTGTGTCTGCTGCGGATCAGAAACCTGGTCAGCCAAAAGTCATGCGTCCCTTCAAAAATCTACGAGTCATCCTTGATGGGATGTCCATATTCGTACGGACTCTTTCAAATTTTGAGCAACAAGGAAATACTTATTCTCGTTACAAGGCTGATAAAGTTCCCCGGTATGCTGTTGGTATTTCCTCCCATGGAGCCACAATCTTTTGCAGTGAAGGGTTTGAGGGCAACATGTCTGACAAAGAGTCAATAATACAGAGTGGACTCTTAGATATGTTAGAAGAAGGGGATGGGGTAATGACTGATAGAGGATATGAACTGACTGCAGAGTTGCAGGCCAAAAAGTGTCACTTTTACAAGCCACCTTCTCTGGGCAACCGTAAGGCCTTCACACCAGAGGAAGAAATTCTTACCAAAGCTATTGCTTCTGCCAGAATTTATTGCGAACATGCTATCGCTGATATCAAGGACTGGAGAATACTGCAGGGAACTGTGCCTCTCAATATGATTCCAGTAGTGTCAAGCATAGTGTAGTTAGTCCCCCAATTTTGTTCCGCCTGCTTGGGGGATTTGTGAGGGTCAGTGTCAGCACAGACGTACGACAACAACGCACAAGGCCGTGAATCTCCGAACAAAGAGTCGTAACTACTCTTGTTCTAGAAAGCAAT